AAAGCCAGATTTAAGGGCACAAGGAGCAGAAGCTCTAAATCAGTGTTTCTCAAAACTTGAACTGCTTTTAGACAGGTGGACTTCCAATGCCCAGAATTCTCACCCTCCTCCAGCCAGCCAGCCAGCCAGCCATGGGGAATTGGCTAAGAGCCGGTTGAGAATCAAACCTTTGATTTCAAGACTTTGTTCAGATCTCTGAAGCATCTTTTGGAGGTATAAAAAAGATGTTGAGGCTCTAGAAAGAGGGCAGAGGACAGTGACTCCGTGGAACAGCCTGCCTCCAGAAGTTGTGAGTGCTCCAACACTGGAAGGTTTTAAGAAGAGATTGGATTTGTCTGAAATGGGGTAGGGTCTCCTGTTTGAGCAGGAGGTTGGACTAGGTCCAAGGTCCCTTCCATCTCTGTTAATTCTTGTTAGTCTGCTGCGTAGGGTATCCCCATTCCGGGCCTTGCAGCCAATTCATCTTGCAAGACATAAGGACACATATTTTGGGGTGGGGGTGGGGAGCCAAGGAGGCTAAGAACAAAGAAGTGCCTCTGAGCATGTGAAGACTCCGTCCCCCCAAGAGTTAAAAATCAATTCTGTAAGACGGGGGTGTCCAACCTTGGTGTTCTGGCCCAGCTCCTCAAACACGACAAACCTTCTGTAGTTGAAGCAGTGATTCCTTTATTAGGAGCCCCACCGGCAGGGAGAGGAATAGTTGTCTGCCACGCCTATTCATCTCCGCCCCCTGCCTTTGATCCCCGGAGCTAGGGTAGCAGCGGTGGGTCTTCCGTCCCAAGGACCGGCCCATAGATTTCCACTGCTCTCCTCTCCTCTGCCTTCTGCGCATCCACACGTTCAGGTACTGGGCCCAGTTGTTCCTCCTCTTCCTCAGCCACCTCCAGACCTGGGGGCTGTTGACTCTCCACCTGAGGGCTGATGGATTGCCCAGGCGCCATCTCTCTCTCTCTCTCTCTCTCTCTCTGTCTCTGTCTCTGTCTCTCTGTCTTTCTGTCTCTCTCACTGTCTTTGTCTTTCTATGTCTCTCTCTCTCTCTCTCTCTCTCTCTCTCTCTCTC